ACCGGCTTTTTGGGGATTAGGAGTTTGAGGATCGATGGGGATTCAGACATTGGGGAGATTGGGGAAGGGGAGAGTAATCGGGCCTCCGGTAACCTCACTCACACGACGAAACACAAGCAAGCGTGGTTTCTGTGAGGCCGTGCTATCACTCCGGTCGAGCCGGCTCATTCATGCCGAAGCATGGCTTTCCCACACTCCTTTTTAAAACTACTAACATAATTTTACCAATGACTCAATACTTAACACTAAAAACAGTCTTACGAAGCTTCCTGTAGCTACGAATATAGCACGTGTCTGTCAGAAATGAAACTACTTCTAACTGAAAATAAATTTTAGAAAGACGCTGAGGTAGATGTGCGGTGTCACTCAAGATTTTATGTCCATCGTCTAAGATGGCCTTCCGAGACGGATGTTCGTGATACTGGGTTAAAAAGGTTTTATTATGCTCTAGGTGTGTGAGAATTTTTGAAGGTTTTTGGTGAAATTGATTCTATAATACTGTTTTATATTGTAGGTACATACGTCATCAGCCGGAGCAAACTGTTGTAAAAAGGCATCGAAGGAGGTAGTGGCTATAATTGTCTAATAATTAGTCGATCAAAATTAGGTCATTAAATTCTGTTCTGTATTTGCCCGACTCTACGTTAGTCGTTATTGGGTGGGTGTCATCACTGCGAGGACCGCCCTGAGGACACGGTGGAACACTCAGTGGGAGAATGCCCTACGTGGGCTGAGCACCGCCGTGCCCTCAGGGGAGTGATCGGCGATGACGACCTCTCGCGTCCGGGCCTAGTGCAGGCCATGATGCGGAGCGAGGGGGACTGGGATGCCGTCTCCTCCTTTTGCGAAGCAGTCATGCTAGCTAAGGAGGAGGCGGGACGCGTGAGGCAGCGAAACGCTGCCTCCTCGCAACCCAGCCATCGCGAAGGACACACCGGGCGTCGGGGATCGCGAGACGCTCTCCGGCCACCGTAAGCGCGGGATTGCGGACGGCGAGCATGGGTGGCTCCCCGTCCGACCAGAAACAGACCCGAGCGTACGGCGCGTCGCGTTCCGCGCGCGCCTCAAAGAGCCATCAGACAGCCACAGATGGGGCACAATAGGGCTGTTGCCGATTCGGAGTCGCGGAGAACCTAACGGGTAACCGGGGCTCCGGCTCGACGTGCAGGAGAAGGAACGGGGTGGTTTTTAGTCAGTAAGAGTCTGACACTCCCTTCCGCCTAACCCAGGCGCGGAGCAGTCATTCGATGATTTTCCCCCCTTAAAAAAAAAAGTCGTTATTGGGTCGAAGATAAACTAGGGTTAAATGTTTTTGGTGAGAAGTGGAAGTTATAATAATTATGATTATGATACAGAGCAGGCAGAGGGATCTGTCTACCATTGCGGAAGCTATAAGACGCCATATTAAAATAACAAATCATTATAAATTATTATGTTTTCGGCTTACTCACGTAATAATTAGACGAGGTACTCGAGGAAGTCGCCGCGTCGGGGGTCGCGAAATGCTGCTCATGAATATGAGCCTCTAGCATGGCTTGAAACTAGTCGAGTTCGTCGTCAAATAATTACGTGAGTAAGCCGAAAACATAATAATTTATTTAGTATGTCTCAAGAAAGTTACAATACTAACAAATCATTGTTAATTCATCTGGGCTATAATATATAGAATAAGACAGATAGAAACTCCAGCCATTATTTGGCCATACGACCTTCGGGCAAAAAACTTCCTCATCTCATAATTATATTGGCTTGCTTCTAAGAGGAATGGTGTCAAATTTTACAATGTCTTTACATTGTAAGTTGATCCTAGCTATTGTTAGAGGCTTTTTAGGAATTTTTAAAGTTTAAATCGACTCCATTTTTTACGTTATTTTTCGTAGTAAAATAATGAGTGCGTACTAAAACGGGCGGCGATTACCATCTCTTAAAATTGTTACAGCCTTACTTTGTGTATTTTTTATACGTGAAGTTTTTATTAGTTTAATATGTTGATGTATGTTTTTATAGAACAGGTACTTCATTTTTACATGTGTTTTTATTTGTCATAAAAACCATGTTTTAAAAAGTAAAAATATCTTCACTTGTTCTTTTGTTAAAAATTACATAACATCATGTCTATTATCCCCGAAGGGGTAAGCAGAGGTGCACATTATGCCACTGTACAATGTAACACCCAATTTTCACTATTTATGTTATGAGTCCCATATAATAGGGGGTGAGCCTATTGCCATATACCGGGCACAATTCCAGATCCCGTGCTACTACTGAAAATGTGTTAAAACCCAGTATATTTTGCCCGACCCGGGAATCGAATCCGAGACCCCTTACCCGACAGTCTCTCTTGCGACCACTCGGCCAACGAGATTAAAATGATATTTAATTTTAATTAAGATTAAAATTAAAATTAGAATGATATTTCTATTACTCTTTCAAAGCTAAATTAAATTCAGGGAGAATCAGTTAATCTGAGTCAATTCCAACCACGCATTATCCAAGAACTGAACATTTAAACAAAAAAAACAGGCAAAATCATAGAAATAAATAAACATAAAAGCCAACTTCATCTATTAGATTACTTAAATGCTCGAAAATTCCCCAAAGTAAAGCAGGATTTGTTGCTAGGGATGCAATAAAAGGCATTTCGGCTTCCATTATGTTCACCAAACATTGCTTCGGGGATACACGGCAAACGACAATTCTTATGTAGCAACTTTACTGTTGATTGTATCTGTTTTTCTAATATGGGTTTTAGTGGGTTCAATATAGGATGCTAATTTGAATAATTTAGTCAACCACTCTGTGTAATACTTTATTTGCTTATTGGTTAATGAACCACATTTGTATTACTCACTCAGGACAACTTGAAATGTACCTATGGAATGTTACTTCAAGATATATGTAATGAAGAGGTAATAAATGATTCTATGACCAAACTAGTTTGCATAGTCTTCTGGCAATGCAAATGACAAATAACAAGATGGCATTGCACTGTAAGCTAAATTATTTGAAAAAAATATTTAAATTTTTACTAAAATGAATGGCAATTAACGAAAGTCACATTTTTCTATCCATTAGTCATTTCAGTAAATTTCAAAATAGTCATCATGAGGCACTACTGACAAGCAAAGGCGTATTCTTACACGGAGAAGGAATGAACAATAGTAGACCACGTTTGCTCAAGGCTGATTGGCTATATCAAACTTATAATTTGAAATTAAATGGAGTCTTCGTGACGTTTGGTAGGTTGGGTAGGTAGGGTTGCCGGGGATCTAGCTCGACAAGCAGGAATAGAAACGGGGTGGGTTTTAGTCAGTAAAAGTCTGACATTCCCTCTCGCCTAACCCAAGGCTGAAGAAGTCATTGGGTGAATTTTACCCCTCCAAAAAAGAGTCTTCATGATGCTTTCCTTCACCATAATGTGAATAGTGTCTAAATGAACTTAGGAAGTGAATGTCACCTTATTTTATGGGTATCTATAGCAAGTTCTACAAAAATTCTAATTTAGTAACTCTCTCTAGCCTTTCTACTCGTGTCTAGCCTTTTTCGTTACAGGCTGAAAATAAGGTGATAAAACAGAATTCAATTTCATAGCGACCTGGATTCAGTTCGATACCGGGTATCCTAAAAATAGAAGTTAATATATTGAAATCTTTCTGATTATCCCTTTTGTAATCTTTTCAGTGAAGATTTTCAGTGAGCAATTTGTACAAAATACGGTATTATTCTATGTACTTACTCCTACGCTTGTACTTTTATGGGATAAGTAGGGATATATAGGTATTGTTGTTAATATTAAAGGGCTTGTTCGACGTTGGAAGATGAAGCGCATATTTTATGGGATAAGATAGGCAGGGTGCAAACGTTACGCTTCTGAAAACGCAAACAACAACATTATTAATGTTATAACTTTTGTGAGTCATACTAAATTAATTATAATGTTTTTCGCAGTTCCAGTAGGAGCGCCACAGCCGCCGCGTCGTGGGTCGCGGAATGCTGCTCGTGAATATGGCTAGCTATCATGGCTTGAAACTTGTCGAGTTCCTCGTCAAATAATTAGGTACTTACGTGAGTAAGCCGAAAAATATAATTAATTAAATTATTTTTTATACATATATTTAATCGCTTTTATTTTCGTGTTAGTCCGGTCCCCATCAGCCTTACACAAAATAAACATTTAACTCCTAACTATTTTTTTATATATATCGTTTCTTTTTTATACAAAATTTGCCTTTGTTTTTTGGTAGCGTTCTCCTTACACTAGCATAGAACAAGGAGATTAATGTTTTTTGATACTAATCAGGTAAATGAGGGTATAGGCAAATTCTAAAAGTTACGTTACTTATTTTAACTCGTCGAGTACCGGTTTTGTAGACACAATTATAGAACAATAGGTTGCGGTCACCGGTGACCGCTTGGTGTTTGACAGTTTAAAAACAAAAGTAAGTTATAATTAAATAACTATATGTTACAATTAAAATTAATGCGTAGCATTTCTTTGTTTATATATATATTTTTATACACCTACATAAAAAATGTAATATTTGTACATATAAAAATATTAATTACATATTTATGATGAAAATAAACAAACAACGATATTTCTTCTCTTTTGACGAAGTTCATCCTACTATTTTTTTGTTAAAAAATTGTCACTTGTCTATATATGAATTTAAAATAGTTAAAAGTATTTAAGTCTGTAATTTTGTAGCTCATACAACAATAAAGAATTCATTATTAATGACTCTCCATACAAGTGCAAACCTGCATTATAATAATAATAGTAGGTATTTACAAGTGTCTACAAAACTAAAAAAACTTTTCGATAACGCGAGGAAGGACGAGCAGTGCAAGCTGGCTGACGTAATATGAACGAGACACAGCTATATCCGTCTCTTTTACTCCCCACGATCGTGAATTGATTGTCTCGTTCACCTTCTACTGCGCCAGACGTAATTCGGATACATTCTACGACGCAACGGCTTTACATCGCGAAGTAAATGTTATTCTACATTTTTCTGTATTCTGTTTTATCTTTGGGTATAAATATTTATCTAAATTTAATACGGAACAAGCTAGGTTAACATATTTCGTGGCTATGAAAGACAAAATATGTGCACGTACTTTCCAGTAAGACTTTTATTCCGATCGTGTGAATTCGTGTGTTTATCCGAACGCGTCAGTTTTGTGTCACCGAATCTGTGTCAGTACGTACAGTAGCATAACAAACCCGACTGAATTGTGTACATAGTGTTTTGTGTCTAGTAATTAATCTACAGAATATTACGAGTTTCCAGTTTTTGTGCACAGTGTTGTGTTGTTGGAAAACGAACATTGATTGTCAGAAACAGTTTCACCTTGGTATTAATTTAGTTTCAAGCGGCGCTTCCCAGAGCGAGTATTTGTTTACTCTATTCAGTCTTATCGGTACTGATACAAGTGCAAGATATCGTGACCAAATTTCTATATGCATTTGTAGACACGCTTAATCATCGGACTCTTGTGACTAAAGAAATTAGTTGAATAAAAATGGGTATATTTTGCCAAATTAACTTGAAACAGCCACCAGAAGGAGTATACCATGGAGGAGATCACGTCTCAGGAATAGTCAAGTATGGAGTAGACGAACCTATGGAGGTTGAGAAAATTACTATATCATTAAAAGGCATTGGCCGAGTGATATTAATGAAGAAAAGCGGCAAACACAACAGAAGATTTGATGGCAGGGAAGTATACGTAGATACTGACCACATATTACCCGAAGGTAACTGTACGTTGCATGGAAGCTATGAGATACCATTCAGCTTCAGATTACCCGAGAAGATACCAAGTTCCATAGAATATACGAAGCGCCAAGGCCAATATCGCGTTAAATGTTACATCAAATACTACATTCGACTGAAATTCGAAAAGCCAGGCTGGTTTACTTTCGATAACCATTTCCGAAAGAAAATTACCGTAGCTTCTCCTGTTGCACCCGAGATGTCCATGGAACCCATTATATATGGTGAAAGAAGCCAACTACTGCAGCTGTTCTCGAGCAAAACAAGCACATTAATCATGAAAGCTGAAATTCTCAACTCCGTAATTCCAAAAGGTGGTAAAATCGAGATTAAATCGGAAATACAAAATGATACTAATATCATAGTGAATAGTGTTAAAATTCAATTGATGGAGGTGGTTAAAGTCAAACCGAAAGGACATGGGGAAGTGAAGTTCTATGATGAAGTTCCTGAATGCGAGAGTAAGACAGGTACTATTCAGGCAGAAGCGACTCAAAGTATGCCAATTGATATTATAGTACCTGAAAGTAGAATTTCTTTACAAAATTCTGATATAATATCTCGAGATTTTGTTGTCAAAATCACTGTTGATCTGCCGATGCCCCATAGAGATGTAGTTCTAGAGATACCAGTTCAAATTGGAGATTATTATGAGCGAGCTAGTCTGTCACCGGAATTACCCGACAAAAATTGGATGTCTAGGGTTGGTGATGGGGCATCAGCATCAAGTGCTGCTGATGATCCTCCACCCACTTATTGGGAGGCGATGGGTGAAGGAAAGAAAGATGACGAATCAAGTACTGATGATGAGAGCGATGACGAAAAGGGAGGGAAGTCTTAATGCAGAAAAGAATAGGGTATAATTTTAAATGACGGTAATTTGTGGCTTATTTATGTACTGATTTTGTATTTATTATCTTTGTAGTGCCTATTTAATTGTGCCTAATACGCTAATTGAGATAATAAACAATTTTATAAATGAACTAGCGACCCGTCGCGATTCCACTCGGACGCCATTCCGACAATATCTCGATTTTGTACTTATGAAACTTTCATCAATAATAAACACAATCAAATAGGAATTAATGAAATCATTTTAGCTATTTCCGAGTTTCGCACTTAATAACATATTTTATATTTGTATAGACAGAATAGGTATGTGGAATTGTACTCTGAATGCGGAATGTTCTGGAACATGTTTCTTAAATTAATTCGTTACGTAATATGCTGAAGATATATTATAATTGCATTTATTTTTTATTGACTGTCTCGTTATGAGTTGTGATGTGCGTGTGAGTCTGCCAAACAATATGTTAGCGTTTCGATTGAAACCAATTTAAAAAAAACTCCTTAGTAACAAAAATGTTTCGACCTGTTACACAGTACCTACAGCATTTTTGATCATTTATTTATTTTAAGATACATAATTAATTTTTGATATGTTGATTTTTAATTTTTCGTATGTCTTAAGTAATGTGCACGCTTATTGGCGCACAATAAATAAGAGGTCACAAGACAAATCTCCAATATTAATTATCGTTTTTGACATTGACAAAAAATTATTGATAAACTCAAACTCAAACTCAAAAGCATTTATTTCAATTAAACCATAATTTGGTACTTTTGAAACGTCAACAAATATGCGCTCGTTCCAAAATGTCGATTCGAGATGGAGAAGAACGAGCAAGAAACTCCATTCTATATATAGTAGGTTTAATAATTTATTAGTACTGAATAATAAAAATATAAATAAAAATGTTGGCCATAATGATATCTTCCTAAATAATATTTGAATACGACTTAAAATTGAATACAATTTTAGTATGTAGGCATAAATCTCATCACTAACTAATTGGTACATACATACTAGGTAATTGTAATTGTAATAATTATGTAATACTTAATGCATTTACCTGTCCCCACGGTCACCGGTGACCGCCCCCACTAACTAGTGGTCTATAATGTAGTTACATTATAGACCTTATTTCCGATGTTTAGAGACTACTTTTGTATGAACAAATTTAGGGGATAACATTTCAACAGGTTACGCCATTTCCATTTTGTACCTCATTTCCTAAGTGATAAGATTTTAATTACATTGTTGACGTGTATGTTATAATGTTCTAGTTATTAAAAATGTATTAAGTAAAAGTGTTTTGTTTCATTAATATTCTTGGTAATTATATATTTTGAATGATTATTAATTGATTTTGTTATAAAAAAACGTTTATAAATGGATTGATTGATTTATGGACATGTAAACCATTGTCGAGATTTTAGACATATTTCATAAGTAGCTAGTTGTGCAGACATAATTATAAATAAAACTAAAAACTCCTTTCATTCTTGCTACACACAATAAATTTACACTTAATAATAAAGAAAATAAGAAAACAGTATGCATTATATAAAAAAAAAACAGGTAAGTAGGAGAGGTTTTTTTTGCAAGGACCCCTCTCATCAGAAGCTAAAGGCCTCCTTCAGGGACAACCACTGCTGTCTGTCTTCAGCTACTCTCATCCAGTGGGCACCTGCTACTTTAGTGATGTCATCTCTCCAGCGTGTATTTGGTATACCCCTTTTTCTGTGGCAATCGGGTCCTAACCATGATGTTGCTATTTGAGTCCAGCGATTGTCGTTAAGTCTAGCCACATGCCCAGCCCATCGCTTTTTCAGTTTCTGAGCATAACCGAGAGCTGCAATATAGCATTCATTAATTATAATATAACATAACGTCACGCCTTTTATCCCCGAAGGGAGTAAATGAATGTAGGCAGAGGTGCACACAGATGTAACACCCACTTTTCACTATTTATGTTATGAGTCCCATGTAATAGGGGGTGAGCCTATTGCCATATACCGGGCACATTTCCAGACTCCGTGCTACTACTGAGAATATTTTAAAAACCCAGTAATACTTTGCCCGACCCGGGAATCGAACCCGAGACCCCTTCCCCGGCAGTCGCACTCGCGACCACTCGGCCAACGAGGCAGATTAATTATAACTATAAAATAAATCTGACAACATTATTTGTGTTATACCGATAATTTTTTTTATACCGATCCTACACTATGATTTTATTGTGTATCATTTTTACATATCTACACATCATATTCAGGCACAAAACAACTAAAAGTGGATCACATAAAGAATATTGTTTCGTACTAACTGAACGTGATACGTAGCACAAAGTCAAAGTCAAAGCATTTATTTCAATTACACCATATTGTTACTTTTGAAACGGCAACAAATACAAAATAAATAATAGTCTGTCAGTCTGAATAATTGTCCGTCAGTCTGGCATTATTCTAACCCCCGTTTCTAAACTACTGCTCCAAACCCACAGTGGCCATTAAGACCTCTGTATATTTGTGTAATAATATTATGACCGTCATAAAAATAAAAAATATAGGGGTAAAGGTGAAACGAGATAGTCAGATTGTACAAAAAAGGGTGCAGTTTGTTTGACTTAATTTGTAATAACATAACATCACGGCCTTTTTCCCCAAAGTGATAGGCAGAGGTGCACATTATGCCACTGTATCTACAATGTAACACCCACTTTACACTATTTATGTTATGAGTCCCATGTATTAGGGGGTGACCCTATTGCCATATACCGGGCACAACTCCAGTCTCCGTGCTACAACTGAGATTTTTTTAAAAACCCAGTAATACTTTGCCCGACCCGGGAATCGAACCCGAGACCGCTTGCCCGGCGACCACTCGGACAACGAGGCAGTCTTTGTAATAATATTGTAATTTGTATCTAATAAATGTTATAATGACGACATATCTACATACATATAGGTACGTATACATAAGACGTTTACTTCTAAGATTATCTAGACACCACTGACAAATGGTGAAGGAAAACATCGTGAGGAAACCTGGGCTAATAATTTCTAATTCTAAGTTTGAAATAACCAACCCGCCTTGAGCAAGCGTGGTGATTAATGCTCAAACCTTCTCCATGTGAGAAGAGGCTTTGTTTAGCAGTGGGTATTTATAGGCTGTTGATGGGATGATTAAAAATAATCGAATGGGTTACTATCAAAAAATAAACTCAATTTTTTTTTTATAAAACGTTACCCCGTAAGATTTTCTTCTGTGTTGTGGGTGTGTTTACAAACATACAATTTCACATACATATGACACCCAGACCCGAAACAACTATTTGTGGATCATACAAAGAGTTGCTCCGTGCAGGAATACATGTTGCATGGCAGCCAGTCTCCCAGCCACTGCACCATCCGTGCAGTTGACAATCGCTCTGGGTGTAAATCCCACTAACTTACTGCTCCAGTGGTAGTGTACAGCAATAGACTTTGGTTTCAATTATTGGTGGGACAAAGTAAAATATACTCATTCATTTACGAAATAAAGATGAGATTAAAATTCACACTTATGTTTAATTTTTTATATCAGTTTTTCGTAGCATACATTTTTATTAGCACAAATGATAGCAAAAGCTATGTCAAACAGGACAAGTCACAGACGTTAATATTAATCAAGTATTTAGACCACACGAAGATAAGGACAGAATTATACGTCTCTCTCTTTCAATCGTGAAGGACAGTCTCGTCTAGTATGCTAAGTGGCTTCCTATGTCAAGTCTAGCTAATTCGGATACGATATTTAGTAGCAATATAGATGAATTAGATCGAAAATGCGTAGGAGGAATTTATTTTAAAACCATCACTAAAATGTTTATAAAAACCAGTTTCCTTGACCACATAAAATATCTATTATACAGTCAAAAATAACAAAAACATTACTTTAATCAAATAAAAGCGTAAGAACATAATATAGTGTGATCTGTGAGTAGAATATCCAAACGAATGAGTTATTTTGGGTTATCGGATATATCAGTATTTTTGTCAGTGACTGCAGTTTTTGTATGTACTAGAGCTAAAGTAATTCCTGCTGTATGATGCAAGACTTAAAGTTGAATTTTATGTACAACGTAGTTCAAAACCGGTCGCAGATTTTTAATATGTAGATGAGAACATTTAGTGTGAAGCTAGGAACATAGCGAGCCAGACTTAGTCGGAGCATTGTTTTTATTTGACGTTCTCCATAGTATATCGTTGTCCGTACCTTAAAAATCATGAACTATATTGAACCGTATGTGTAACGTCTTAAAGTTGTTACTAAATTAATAGTAGATAATAAAGTTTAGTGCTAAAAGACAAACAAGACTGTAAACTAAAAGTGAATTAATTTGTTCAATAAATTAAAATGGGTGTTTATTGTGAGATTAATTTAAACAAAACTGGATCTTATCACGGTGGAGAAGAAGTATCTGGCATAATAAGGTATGCATTAGACGAATCGATGGTGACTGACAGCATTACGGTCTCCTTAAAAGGAGGCGGTCTCTTGAAAATACAAAGACGACATCGCAAACGTACTAGAAGATACACCAGTAGAGAAGTTTACGTTGACATCGATAAGATAATGCAAGGACACTCGACAATCGAAGCTGGACAGCACGAGATACCATTCAAATTTAAACTACCAGAGAAAATTCCACCAACATTCAATTATAGAAAACTTAACGCAAGACACCGCATCATCTGCAACATTAAATATTACATTCGTATGAAAATCTACAGGCCAGGATTGTTACATTTGACCAAACATTTTCGTAAAGAAATCAATGTCGTGTCTACTTTGACCCCAACACTACCAATGGAGCCTGCATTGTATGGAGCACGAAGCAAATTATTCCAACTATGTTCAAGCAAAACTAACACAGTAATAATGAAAGCTAATATTCTCAATTCAGTAATACCAATCGGTGGAAGAATCGAAATACAGAGTGAAATTGAAAACGATACTAATATTATAATAAAAAATGTTGATGTTAAACTCTTAGAGGTGCTCAAAATTAAGGCCAAAGGACATAGTGCTTTGAAGTTTTATGATGAAATACAAAATTGTGAAAGTAAGACTGGTTCTATACAAAGTGGTGCTACACAAGTGATGCCGTTTAATGTTGTTGTACCTTCGGATAAAACTACTATGCAACATTCGGCGATGGTGTCAAGGGACTATACATTTAGAATAACTGCTAATCTGCCATGTTTTCATAGAGATGTCGTGTTGGAGGTACCTGTCCAAATAGGAGATCTTCAAAAAGAAGAGCTGAATGATGGTCTACCTTCATACTGGGAGGCTATGGGTGAGGCTGAGAAGCATAATTCGAGTGATGAGGACGACGACTGATGTTTTATGTATGAACCAGATTATAATAAAAACTTTATATTAACATGATTATGAGAATGTGTTGCTAAGTCGTGTCTCGCATACTAATGTAAAGAAAAGGTCATAAATATTACGTATTTTTTTTATATTTCGATGTTTTAGAGAAAAGTCTTAAGACAGTTAGTGATTTTTGTGTAATACTTAATATATGTTTATATTTACCTGACTATTGGCATCATTGCTATCAAACCACATGATCGATGAATCGAAATCATGACGTGTGTCTGTAGTTGATAGTAGACACATGATTCACGTCTGAATCTGGTAAAATAGAAATAGAATCTAAGTTGAAAATTATACAAACATTAAGGTAAAAGGAGTTGAAATTTAATTGGTTGAAATATTCTCATTCAAATCCGAATTATATGAACATCTAGTATCCGAATTAATCAAGGTTGTAAAAAGGTAGCAATTATTCTCCCAATATTGCCTAAATTTTCATGACATCCTGTTAGAGTATCAATGTATTATTTAAATTGTGGCTTAAACAGATACACATTTAAAATAAAGATATAGTCTACGCATTTAAAATTAATTTGCATATTCAAGTTTTTTTAAACAAACTTGTTTTTTATTTGTATGTGCAATAAGATCCAAAGTATATTTTTATGGAAATTCAAAATCATTATCAAACATTATGTTCGTCTCTTATCTATTGACATTGGTCACATTATCATCCTCTCAGCCTGATAAACCAAAAGTCATGTCAATCTCTCAATTCGTTCGAATTGCTGAAAGTGTGTAAACGTAACCAAAATAAATAGATATATAATAAAAATAACTTAACATAAGAAAGACAATTGTGAACTATGAGTGTGTTTTGTCAAATACAACTTAATAAGCCACCAGAAGACACATTCTGTGGTGGAGAAGTGATTTCTGGAATAATCAAATACTCACTCGATGAACCAATGGAAATAGAAAGGATAATTGTCTCCCTAAAAGGTATGGGCGATTTAATTCTAATAAAAAGACACAATAAAAAGGTTAACTCGTATACAGCTGAAGAAGTGTATGTTGATGCTAATGAAATCGTTCAAGAAAAAACTTCAACGAAATCTGCTGGAAACTATGACATCCCATTCAGGTTTAAATTACCAGAGAAAATACCACCGTCATTAAAGTATGAGAAGATACATGGACCATACTGCGTAATTTGCAACATAAAATATTACATTAGAATAAAATTTGATAAACCAGGATGTTTAGATCAGTCCAAACATTTTCGTAAGAAAATTACAGTAATTTCAACTATAACTCCCAAATTGTCAATGGAACCGGTGATGTATGGAGAAAAGAGAAAGTTACCGCCATTGTTCCCAAATAAAATTAATACAGTTGCAATAAAAGCAAATATCCTTAACTCAGTAATCCATAAAGGCGGTAAAATAGATATTGAGTCAGAAATTGAAAATGATTCTTATGTTAAAGTAAAAGGAGTTGAAGTTAAATTGATGGAGGTCTACACACTTAAGCCTGTAGGACATGGAGATATAAAGTTTTACGATAATGTGATGAATTGTGAGAGCAGAACTTCGTCTATTAAAAGTGGAGCGACTAAAATCATACCTCTAGATCTGATTGTTCCAACAGATACATTATCTTTGCAGAACTCTAAGATAGTATCGAGAGATTACGTGGTTACCATAACAGCTCAGCTTCCGATTCCTCTTAAAAATGTCGTCTTAGAAATACCAGTGCAGATAGGAGATCATATGCCAGTGGAACGTCCGGAGGTGGCCGAAAATCCACCAGCGTATTTAGAGGCGATGGGCGAAAAAGAAAGCGGAGTTGAAGATGGTAATGACTAAACAAGCACTCTCATTCTCTGTATCTGATCTAGTGATGATGAAAGGGACAAAACCTAAGTATTCAAATCCAAAGTAATCGAAGGTTCATCTATAGCCTATAAATGCCCACTGCTGAAAACGCCTCTTCTCACACGGACACAGTTTGTTACTCGCGATGTTTTCCTTCACTGTTTGTCAGTGGTGTCTAAATAATCTTAGAAAGTACATAATAGAGGTACAACATGGAAAAAGTCGCATCGGTATGTACTTGCCATTGGTAGGTTTCGAGCGCGCACCCTAACACATGAGAAATGGCCTTTAACTCGTCGAGCACCGTCAATATAGACACAATAAAGAACAATAGGTTGCGGTCACCGGTGACCGCTTGGTGTTTGACAGTTTAAACCTCCGGGCCAACACGACATAATTAGAAGTAAATAGTTATAGACGTGTATCTCATTCTAATAACGGTAGACATGTAATAATAATTAACAAGATAACAATTAACAATTACTATGTTCTTGATATTTATTTAACTAGAAAACCTTTGTAAGCTAATTAAATTTTATTATAGGTATTGTTGATTTTGGAATCTAAAATAGGATTTTATGTTTACTCCTTTGCGACCTTTGTCATTCTTCTATTTTGTTTTCATGCCAAATAAGATCAACAATTCATTGTATTTGGGACATAGTTAAGTATATATTTTTAATCAGATTAAATGTTATTGATACTGTGACCGTTTGTTTCATTAATTCTAAATGTCTATATCTAATCTTATGTAGTTGTTGGTCAAGTTCGTTCACCTTTATAGTCCACAAAGTTTTCGTCAATTTGTTTTAGATATTCTAATGGTCGAATCCAATACTTGGGTTGGACAAAAACCACTAATGTGTTCTGTTGAGAAACTATAAGTTACCTTCTATAATAGTTTCGAAAACAATATCTCTATCTAGATTTGCTGTAATTATAGGTATTTATGTATATCTCTAGTTTGTAATGTTTGTTGTTATAATAATCTTTCATGGGTTTTCCTGAGCACCTGCGATGACTGTCATATTGTTTGTAGATAACAATAAGACAGACTAATTAAGAGTTCATCGATTTTATCATTATCATCTGTTTTGTTCCAATGATCATCGCGTATCCAGTTATCTAATCAATGCTTTATTTTGGTCATTACTTGATTATTAGAGTTAAAAATAATCTTATCGTTAATAACATAAATATCAGGTTGAGTCATATTTTGCTTTTTAAATTCACGTCTATCATTGGTAGAATCGTTGCTGGAGGAACTCCTAAATGGATGATTTTATTTGTATTAGTGTCTTGGTCACTATCTCGCTTGATGGAATGCAATGTGGCCTATGATGAAGCATTGCTGCCCATAAGCATCCTTTGCACTCGAGACCTGAAAACATCCAGGTGATATCCCTTTGGAAATGCAGACTCTTGCAAAGCGTTCCTTTCCTTTGCTGATCGCATTAGATAACTAAAACTGGAGGCGAAAGCGCGTGAAGAGTGATTTGGGATAAAAAAGTTCCTTGTCAACTATGGTAATTATTGTTGGTCGGAACATGATTTATTATGGAGCACTTTGTTTAGAGTTGATCGAAGGAAAATATTTTATTATTTGTATATCTAATTATGTCAGATATTAGATTTCTTGTGATGATCATCAACCTTCGATGCTATTGATGATAATAATATGGTAGTTGCCAGGGTAAGAAAATTAAAAATCTAATTAGTCTGTCAGTTAGATAATGAAAAAATATTAGATACGTACGTTTTATTTTCTCGTATAAAGTTACTACTTAGATAAAATGGAGTTAAGTTTAGGAGCGGGAGGTCGTTACGTCACTAAGTGCTACAAAATGTAGCGTATTGTGACGTCACACGATATTTCAGATTATTATATCGTCGAAACTATTTAATTTTGTGAGAAAAGAAAAAATACGTGTCTAATATTTTAAATTAATCTACCAGACGGACATTAAAATAAAATTTAGGCAACTACCCTATTTTCACTTGATGCTGATCAAGGATGACTTTACACTCTCCAGTCAATCAGAAAGGCTTTATCGAAGATTACGAAATGTTTTTTGAAGATTTCAAGTACGCTACAACTATCAAGGACACGATGATTCATACTATTTCACGTATATCTAAATACTCTGTCATTTCTATAGATAAAGATTGTAATTTGGTTTTTCATCAGATACATAAAATTATAGTGTCCGGTTCAACCAGAGTGATACCGCCTCACAGAGAACCGACGCGAATCAACAATTGCGTTGTGATTCGTCGTGTGAGGGAAGTTAAAGGGTAATTACCCCTCTCCCCTATCTCCCCAATCCCTGAATATCCAACAATTCTCAAATCCCTAATTCCAAAAGGCCGGTAGTGCACTAGTAACATCTTCGGTGTTTCAGGTGTCCATGGGCGGCGCGTATGGATTACCATCAGGAGATCTGTCTGCTAGTTTACCAGCTCATTACATAACAAAATATAGGAGGTATGGGTATTTCCGCAGAATACATTGCGACCTTTTGTATAAAGATTAACAGCACTACAAGCATATCAGTTTAGGGATTGACAAGTAGGTATGTAAGCGAACCAAAAGGTAAGAAATGTGTATAACTTAACACTGAAATTAAAGCAAAAGGAAAGAACATATGTAATTTTTTTTCTTAAGCGGGGAAAATCATCGAATGATTGCTCCCGCCTGGGTGAGGCGGGAGGGAGTGTTCGTTCCTTCTCCTACACGTCGAGCCGGAGCCCCGTTACCCGTTATGTTCTCCGCGACAAGAAAATATGTAGGTATAAGAACAAACAAATGTATACTATTTAGATTTCTCTACGTCTTTCAAATTAATTTCTCTAGACAGAACGTTATTGGAACAAATAAATAGTAAAGTCAATATGTGAGTCAATATTTGTTATAAATAAATTGCTTTGATTTGATTTGATGCACTTGTTATGTCAAACCTTAATTAACACATAATGAATTTCTATATAAAACAGCTGAGACAACTATTATGGGCCACACAACAGGAACAAATGAAAAGTAAAACAAAATTGACCATAAAACTAAATATATTTAATGCTAAAAATATCTGATTACGATTAATACACTTAAAATAACATCAGTCTATCTTACTATTCTGACATTAGTGTTATTTATTACTTTATCTTAATCTCTGTCTGTCCTTTCCGAATAAAGGTTCTTTGTTTTTCACCTAGCTTCTAGTTCTTTGTTGTGATTATCGTACTCTTCAAAATCTTTGTCCTCATTTGATTCAAGCCAATCGACATGTTTGTCATTAAATCTTTCATTGTTTTGTAAAAGTGGGATATTATTAAATTCTGCTATTTCTTCATTGACTTTTTGCATATCGATCTCAACATCTTTATTTAAGTATTTTGCAGAACATTCCTCGCTTTGATCATTGTTCGCATAATTATCATTAGATGCAGACATTACTGAACATGATGGTTGTTCTCTATTATATTGGTAGTAAACTGCAGCTGGTGCTATGAACTCATGTTTTCTTGGACCAATAGCCACCGGTATATCTAACACAGCATTGATATGAGGAAAAGGCACTTTAACTGTAAGCCTGATTTTGTATTCACCTGTCATCACTTTAGTATGTTGTATGGAACATAGATTATGATATGTCGGGACTACACATACAAGATTTGCAACTCCATTTGCAGCTACAGAAGCTATTGTACTTGTATTTTTTATGACTTCTTCATTATGTTCCTTATTATTACAGCTTGATATATAAGTCAAACGTTTAATAAGTTCAGTTTTTATAAATACAACTAGATTTGAACCGTTATTCACTGTAACTATCATATGAATATTGTCACCAGGAGTTATACAAGTTTTAATTATTTCACCTTTCACGTTAATTTTGTTGTTTATCCTAAAAGAGAGGGTTTTTTTCAAAGCAAATATCATTGGTTCCAGTGAGCATGGGTTCACGTAGCTGGTCACAGGTATTTCAACGACAAACTCCTTCTTTAACATAGAGTTTGCCTTCATGAATGATACCGTGATTTTGTATTCTATGGTGCAGGTGTCATCATTAAAGGACGGCGGTATATCAATAGGCAGCAAGAATCGGATTGGGTACTCAAAACCACCTGATATAAAATCTTCTCTGTTACTTAATATATTAACTGTCAGATTCAAATAATTCTCTTCATTCCTATAATAAACGGTGTTTTTATTAGAATCAGTTTCAGTCCACTCACATTCTCCTTTTCCTAGAAAGCACATGGATATTATTTTGTACTGCGTTGGTTTGTCTATGAAGTATTTCAATGTTCCTGTCACTAGTTCTCCTGCTTTGAACACACCATCTTCAGTTCTGTCTAATAATATTTGGCACTTTACACCCATGTTGAGGACTGTAAGAGTAAACGACTGCACTGTTCCACTGATTTACAGTATACTGAGTCATACGGATGGAGTAAAATACTTTTATTTAAAAACAATGATATCAATATAAGATAGGAATTTGGACATATCAGAAAATAAAATGATTCATTTGATAAGTATGTATGTAAATCATTTTCTGTAATTTGTGTTGCTATATCAACCTCCTTGTTGCTTGATGATGGTGGAGTTTTGTTGGATTCCCGGGTAAGATAAAGGTTTATAAGATCTTTCGTTTTCAAAAATTCTTTTACGTGTTATTATTTGAGATGATATTTATAATAAATGCGGAATCTACAGTTCAGTAGTTGAATATACTTTTTGTATATTACATGAAACTCAAAACTGGTGAAAAGTGAAGATATTATGATAACATTAGCAAATACATCGATTTTGAAAAGGTACTAGTAACGTTGTGTTCTTGCCTTGTGCAAAATTCGAAGTCAAGCTGTTGCACGTCCGTATCGATATAAATTATAAAGGTTTTATATACCACACTTGCTATATGCTGGTGCTCGTAGGAACTATTGATAGATTGTAGACATAGATACCAAAGTATGTTAATGTTCGGAATAATATAAATATGATGTGACAATAGTATTGCTATATATAGTACACTATCAATAGCAACACACCTCTCATTGTATCGGATAAGTGTTTCCTCGTAAGGCAATCACAATCTAGACTAGCGATTAGTTATCTTATTATGATCGTAAGTGACGAAAGGTACGAACAAACAAATTATTACTAAATTTTAATGTAGATTGCAAAAATTCATTTATTGAGAAACATTTTCCTCATTGACAAAAATTTTCCTCACAACGAGATTCTGATTCTGAGAAACTGGAAAATGTTGGACATAGAACCAGTGACTTAGGTTTCAGGGATCAATTATTAAGGCAGATGAAAAAAAAGACAGGGTATGATTAAATTATCCCTTCGAGGATGTGGAGGGGTCATTTTGACCCTGTCAATTTTTAATCGTGTGTAGTTTTTTATTCTGCCATCGAAGAGTTTTGAACGTCACAATAGCTATTGCTAAGGAACCAGCGCGCCCGCCCCGCACCCCTGTTCAGTTGGCCGCCGCCTGCGACGGGAATAAAACATGCGTGCAGTAAAATAGGGTAAATATGACCCCGCAACAACCGCGATGTAACATTTTTATGTAAGGTTTCAATTATATTTTTTACTTAATATTATTATAATTTTATGTTTTTTCGTACACAATGAATAGCCAGGAGCTTGAGGATGAACGCATACGTCTTGATTTAATGCAGTATGACAGTGAAAATGACTTGTTATCCGACGGTAGCGAAAAAGAAGATCAATTGAGTACGCGCAGTCAAAATAGTGATACTGAGCAAAATGCAAGCAGTGATGGCGAGGATAACGTACCACTATCTGAATTGCAACATCAGAACCCACAAATGTCAGAAGGACAGGAATCGGATGGTCAGGTTACTGAACATTTGCAAGGCCGCAAAGAAACACCTCAATTGCCGAGACAGCTACGCAAGAAAATCAGAGAATTCAACGTAGAACCTGAACAAGAAGCTCCTGTTAGAGTTCCAGGTGTAGGAAAAAATTACCAAGTATGTCCTTATGCCCGCCATCGCAAGACAGCTAATATTTGAAAAGATTGCCATAAGTATATTTGCCCAGAACACACTATTTCATTCTGCCAGGATTGTGCTGCAATCACAGACAATAATGATTTGTAATTCATAATTTGATGATAAGACTGTAAGTGCATCTAATTGACCTCTACGTATGGTACCAAATTAAAAGTTAATCGTCTAAGAAGGGAGTTACTTTTTGTTGTTTTTAGTGTAAGTTTAGAAAGTTTATGTAAAAGTTGATTATTTTGTAGTACTTTGTTAAAAGTGATTTAATTATATTATTTTGTACTCTTATCTGCGTTTTATTTCGATAAAACCGTAAAAATAACATGTAATATAAATAATATTGGTTAATATTTGGTACATTAATATAAATTTAGGTTTTTTAGAGCCAATTATATACAGGGTCAATAAGACCCTCCACAACCTCCACGTTACTATTTTCACCACATCCTCGCCGGGTTATATATTTTATTAATAGTACCATTACCATTAAGTATCTTATAAGTAATCGTATGCACTAATTTATCACAACAATATCTGAATTTCTTTGAAATGTTTATCTTTTTGTCGCAGCACGACTTCATATATATTATCCTCTTGGATTCGTTCATCACATGGCTTCGTGTTCATTCTTTTTATCATTTCATGCATATCACATTTTCAAACAAATGTCTCATCGTCTTGTTCTAAATATATCTTATCATTTTCATTTCAACCTTCTTTCTTTCCAATTTTAGATTATTTTTCCATTTCCAAAGCATTTCCATAAGATATATCTTTGGTTTTGTGTGCAAACATGGCAGAACTGATGTAGTTATTTATATCCGTCAGGACATTAAGAAAGAAAGCAGACAGAAAAACCTTTATTCTCTCACAAATCAAGGGACACGGTACAAAGCACAGTAGTATAATATACTAATATGATACTCATGGCATTATGGCCCGGAGAACACCCGCTTTGCATGGTTAGCGCGGGTTTGAAACGTAATTTCTAAGATTATGTCAGACATCACCGACCAGCGGTGAAGGAAATCTTCGTGAGGAAACCTAGGCTTATAATTTCTCCTTATACGTTTGAAATCCGTGGAGAACCTAACGGGTTACTGGGGCTCCGGCTCGAAGTGCATGACGGGTTGGTTTTTAGTAAGTAAGAGTCTCACATTCCCTCTCGCCTCATCCAGGCGGGAGAAGTCATTCGATGAATATCTTCCCTAAAAAAAAAATACGTTTGAAATCACCAACTCATATTGACGTGTGGATGATGTGACATGGTGTGTGGGTACATGGGCCCCGCCGGAGGTGGTAGAACTACTGGCACTGCTGTTATACCATCAGGCATTTTTGCACCAATCACTACTGGTATATCTATACTAGCATCGCGGTGAGGTTTAGGAACTTCAATTTTGAGTCTGACTTTGTATTCACCCATCAACATTTTTGAATGTTGTATAGAACATAAATTTTGATACGTTGGGACCACACAGATAAGATTTGAAACACCATTAGCAGCTACTGCTGTCTTTGTGGTCGTATTTCTTACGACTTCTTCTCTATATCTCCTGCGATTAAGAGTTGATATATAAGTCAAACAATAAATAAGTTCAGTCCTTATAGATATTTCTGCACCTGTTTTATTATTTACTTCGATTGCAAGTTGGGTGCTGTCACCGGGAGTTATGTGCGTTTTACTTATTTCTCCACTTACATTTATTTTATTTTTTATTTTAAAAGAGAGCTTCTTGTCCAGTTTCAGCATTAATGGTTCCGATGAAAATGAGACCACGTAACTGGTCACGGGTATTTCCACTTCAAATTCTCTTTGAGGTATTATAGAATTTCCTATTACGAACAACACAGTGAGTTTATATTCTATGGTACAGATTGGATCTTTGAAAGTTGGCGGTATATTGATGGGCAGCTCGAATTGGAACGGGTATTCGAAGGCGCCTGATATGAACTCATCCTTATTCAAATTTACGCTCATCATCAGATTCGTATAGTCTTCGCTATTACTGTGATAAATGACATTGTTGAAATTGCTATTGCTTCTGTTTGAATATTCTGTCCATAAGCATTTTCCTCTTCCCGTAAGAGCCATGGTTATTCTACTGTATTGTGTTGGGATATCTATGAAATACTTCAATGTTCCTGTCACTGGGTCTCCAGCCTTGTAAACGCCGTTTTCGATTGGATTCAGCAATATCTGACACGTTACCCCCATGATCTTATAACTTTGAAATTTGTAGGAGCAAACGTCTGCACTGTAGCACTGATAAAAGTATACTGAGTCGTTCATATCGAACTGATTACTTATATTCAGGAACTATTTTATCTGATCGTTGTATACTACTTAATTTAGATAGGACATATCAATTGACGTATGACAAAAAGTATTTTCAAAGCAAGATAATAATGTTCTTGTTATTAGAGTTATTTTCGTTTCGAATTGGTGCAATTGCCGAACAAGGTGTATTGGATTCAACATTTTTAAGTCTAGAATGGTGTCAACAGAATCGCACTCTATTATATGAGTACTAAAGTGCGAATTCTATAAATTATACTTCGTATTAGGCTATAAATATCATATTGTACTTAAAATGTAAAGTTGGACAACCTGTTCCGTGATAAGATATCGATATACTATCTGATTATCTATCATTCATACGTCATTTTGAACGTGTTTTTCCTCATGAGGCCAGGTTTGGACAATAACAGATTTTCAATCTTTAATTAATATTTGTACTTAACAAAATAAGGATGGACAAAATACAATAAGATTATCGAAAGAGCGATTACAAAAATCGTTATTTTGAGTACTTATCTCTTCCTTATATTGGAAAAATCATTACTTGTTCTAAAAAAAGATTTAAGTAGTGAGTAGGAACACTTCTTAAAAATAAGAACTTAACTTTTTTCCAGAGTTTCTCTTCAGCCTAGGTCAAATCAGAGTTATTAAATTTGTAAGGGCAATTTATAACAACATTGTTAAAAATCATCTAATGAAGACGCCTGGGAAAGACTAACGGGAATGACAGCCTCTTCCTAAATAAAAACCACTCCGGTGTCCCGTCTCTCATGTGGGCGTGAAGGTGCAGGAATCAAATTTATCTGCAGTTCCATACGTGGCGGCTCAGCTTGATAATATAGACACTTATGTACCTATATAAGTTTTTTTTTTTTAAGGGGGGAAAATCATCGAATGACTGCCCCCGCCTGGGTGAGGCGGGAGGGAGTGTCAGACTCTTACTGACTAAAAACCACCCCGTTCCTTCTCCTGCACGTCGAGCCGGAGCCCCGGTTACCCGTTAGGTTCTCCGCGACACCTATATAAGTTTAGGTTTTAGATATTCAATGTATGAGCCATGCTGTAGCACGAATTGGCCGGCTCGACCGGATTCGTCTCGACTCGATTGGTATTTCGTCTTGTCGGTGAGGTTACAGGAGGCCCAATTACATTTTGATTAGAACCTAGTTCCTTATAGGGCTCCTTGGTTGAACATCCATTAGGGATCGACAAAAAACAAAGGCAGATTTGAAAATTATATTTATATTTATAGTTATTCCGTTATCACAGCATTATGATGTTACTTTCACAAAAAGTAGTAATTATGTCTATAATATCAGAAGTCACACTGTCTTGAAATTTCTGCTTGCATAATTAATAACAAAATATGTACCTACATACATTTGTGTGACAGCCTACTGAACTGGCTTATTTAAGTAAAAACAACTTCGCCTATCACCTGGACAAATTCTTAATTATTCTCACACTTGTCATCATTTTCCTTAACGTTGCTAGTGTAATGTTTTTAATATTACATATTTTATTTATAATCTTGATCACCATCGGCATCCAGCTTTTTCTTTTCGCCCTTGCTAGAGTCTGCTTCTTCACATTTTTTCACATTAACGTCATCGTTAGCTCTGTTTGCACAGTCCTCATTTTGTGCAGATATAGATGAGTACGGCGGTGGCTCTTTATCATACTGATTGTAGACTGCAGCTGGTACCAAAAGTTCATGTTGTTTTGAACCAATAGCTACCGGAATGTCTAAAACAGCATCTATGTGTGGAAAAGGAAGTTTAGCAGTAATTTTAACTTTATATTCACGTACCATAACTTTAGTATGTTGTATGGAATATAAATTTGGATACGTCGGGACCATATGTGTTAGACTTGTGACACCATTGGTAGCCACAGATTTCATTATACAAGTATTTTTCACGATTTCTTCATCAACTTTCTTGCGATTACTACTTGATACGTAGGTCACACGACTTACAAGTTCAGTTCTTATAAATACTGATATATTTGAATCATTGTTTACTGTGAGTATCATTTCGAAGCTATCACCGGGAGCTACACACGTTTTACTTATTTCTCCTTTTATTTCTACCTTATTGGGAGTTTTAAGAGAAATCAGATCTTTCTTTAAACTGAACATCATTGGTTCCAATGAACATGGGTTCACGTAGCTGGTCATTGGTATTTCTACATCAAAATGTTTGTTCGTTTTCATAAAGTTTGCTTTAGCAAATGTGACTGTAATTTTGTACTTTATTTTACAAATGTCGTCTTTAAAAGATGGCGGTATATCGTTTGGCAGCAAGAACTGGAATGGGTATTCAAAAGCACCTGATATAAGATCTTTGTTATTTGTGCCCAAATATACCATGATTACTTGCGTAAAATATTCTTGACAATTACTGTAATCAGTACTATCGTTATCATCAGAATCAGAATCACTTTCAGACCACTGGCATTCTCCTTTTCCCACAAAACACAGGGATATCCTTCTGTATTGTGTTGGTTTGTCTATAAAGTACTTCAATGTTCCTGTCACTAGTCCTCCTGCCTTGAAAACACCATCTTCAGTTCTGTCCAATAATATTTGACACATTACTCCCATGATACCGACTTTTACTAATATTAAAACTGAAAGAGAATAAATGACCGCACAAACGCACAGCTACAAGTACACTGAGTCATTTAAAGATAACTCGATGGATTTTATATTCAGTGATAAACTTATCTTGGTCGTGACCATATTATTAATCAAAATTAATATTTTTGGCATGACAACGAAGTACAAATTACAAATTTTTGTGCGATTGGTTTCGTTTTTAATTTAATCGACATTTTAATAATAGGAAGGTAGAAACGAAAAAAATATTAGTAAATAAATAAGTGTAGGTATATACATATAATATTAAAAACGAATCAATTACATAAATATTGCTATCAAAGTCTACAGTAAACAAACGGATGAATATTCATTGATAAGATACCGTGAATATTATCAGACTATCAACTATCGGATGATACTCAGGTTTCGCAATATTGAACGACGTTTCCTCATTATTTTTCACACGCAGTTTAACATTTTCGTATGTGAGAGAGCCTGCTTCAGCACAAAGTTGGACCGATCAGACTAGTGCCACGGCCTTACAGCACAAAAAACCAGCATGGAGTAACACTGGCATTGTGTTTTGTTGTGTGAGTAAGTTAAGCAGAGACCCTGTGCGGGCTCGGAAGGATCAGGCTATGGATCAGTCCTCGACGAGCTAGGTGCTTTGTGGAGAGCAAGTGGACTGTATAATGAAATGGAGAACTCTCGTACACTGATACACTTTTATTACGATAATGTTAACAACACTAGTGGAGATTCACAATATTAGGTCGACTGGCTATGATCGACTTTATACATATAACGACACACACTGTTCTGACGCTCTGATGAATTAACAACTCATTGACAACTGAACGCGCCTCGCAAGGAGGCGTCCTTTTATATGCGAGCCGCGCGCGGACAGGATTAATCATGTCGCTATGGGCTCGCGACTCGGCCGCTCTGCGACGGAATCATGTCCGTACATGCTCAAAGGCAAGTTCAAACCAAGCAGCGGCGGCGCGGAACAAAGGATCGCCGCCGCGCGCCTTTGATATTCGTGTCTGAACTTGCCTTTTCGACATGGTACGAACAAGTTCGGAACACGTCGCGGGCGGCTCGCGACCTAGCATTGCCGTCGGGCACAGACCCAATCCCTTCTCCTCAGAAGCGGGTAATGCTTCTTTCATCACCATGTCTCATCGGACCACTCGATTATAAGTTATTTAGATATGTGGGTAGATTATGTGGACCTGTCTAGAAGATAGGCACTAATTATAGATAAATATTGATATATAGGTATTGACCAGATTGGCGATATATTAAAGAATGGCCAAATTAAAAGTACCCTTACTCGACGAGCATAAATGAAAAGACTGATGAGAAAGACTGACGATGAAGCGAAAGTATGTAACAATCGTAGCAACTGGCATTCCACATAGTCTCTGCCTACCCTTATGGAAGACAGGCGTGAGGTTATGTATGTATGTAAATCTACAAAGTTGCTTGGTTGAGATCAATAAATATAAAGACAGAGGTGTTAAAACTGTATTTATTTTTCAATATCAATATTCCACATTATCATAGCAGTATTGTATTAATGGCACAAACAAAAAAAAACGTAGAGTATATCTGTCATAAATAACAGGGCTTGGTGACAAAATATGTATAATTTTGGAATTGTGCATAAAAATATTATTTTATTTATGGATTCACGTTCTATATTATTTCCGTGTCGTGTTTGTCCTCAGATTCCTGGTTTTGGATGTTAGATTTTATCTGTATAATCATTATCATTGAGCTCTGCATTCTCACACTCGTTAGAGTCTGTCTTCAAGTTCTCTGTTCAAGTTTTCTGAAATCTTCACCTTCATTACCTTTGTTATCATTTTGTGTAGATATTGACGAATAAGATGGTGGTGACTCTTCTTCATTCTGGTCGTATACTACAGCTGGTACCAAGAGCTCATGTTTCCTTAAACCAACAGTCACTGGAATTTCTAAAACAGCATTAATGTGTGGAAAAGGGAGTTTAAATGTAACTCTGACTCTATATTCCCGTATCATAACTTTTGTGTGTTGTATGGAATATACATTCTGTAACGTTGGTACAACACATATTAGATTTTCAACACCATTAGCCGCTATAGGAGACATTGTACTAGTATCTTTCACTATATGACCACCAAAGTTCTTGTGATTACAACTTGATATGTAAGTTACACGATAAACAAGTTCTGTTTTTATAAATATCGATAGATTTGAATTATTGTTGACTGTAAGTGTCATTTCAAAGTTATCACCAGGAGCTACACACGTTTTCCTTATTTCCCCTTTCAGTTCAATTGTCCTGGAAAGTTTAAAAGAAAACAGATCTTTCTTCAAACTGAATATCAATGGTTCTGGTGAACATGGGTTCACGTAGCTCATTACAGGTATTTCTACATCAAATTCGTTATTCGTTTTCAGAAAGTTTTGTTTGACAAATGTGACTGTGATTTTGTATCTTATGGTACAAGTACCATCTTTGAAAGATGGCGGTATATCGTTTGGTAGCAAGAACTGAAATGGGTATTCAAAGGTACCTGATATGAGATCTTGTTTGTTAGTACCTAAATACAAATTAACAGTTTGATTCACATATTCCTCACTGTTACTGTAACTGGTAGTGTCAGATATATTATCAGAATTATTATTCTTTTCAGACCAGTAGCATTGCCCTTTTCCCAGAAAACACATGGATATTTTCTCGTACTGTGTTGGTTCGTCTATGAAATACTTCAATGTTCCTGTCACTAGTCCTCCTGCTTTGAACACACCATCTTCAGTTCTGTCCAATAATATCTGACACATCACTCCCATGATAACGAAACTTCTACTACTAATATTAATGTAAGATGGTGACCAGCGACTACACAAATTCACTATTAGAAGTATACTAAGTCATTAAAAGATAACGCAGGCTTTTATATTATTCAATAGCAATGTTATCTTAATACTCTTCTATCCTACTTTTAATTAATGACGTATTAGCTTATATATCGCACCTTATTATCAATCAAATCAATATTTTTATCATATGGATGTCCCACATGGATAGTCGTAGCTAAGAAACGAACGGGTCGACTTGACTAGAGTGGTAATACCATGCTCTTGTTTACAAATGCTGGCATCGCACTTGTCACGGTTACGGTTAGACTATGTAATGTGTGTACGAATAATAAGGGAATATGAATTGATAGACAATACATTGATAAAGTATAAAATTATATTACATTTATAATTTAACATCATGTATCACAGATTTGTATCATAAGTAATTTAACACATATTAAATTGAAAAAGGAAAGCTTTTCTTCCCTCTTGATGTTAACAATTCCATGGTTATCGTTTCATCTTGGATACATTCAGTAGTTCTTCTTTTTGCATAGACCATCAAAATAAATTTATTTGTAAGTGTTTTGTTCCGGTTTAAAGTTCATTCATTATGTCTGTCACCTGGATTGTGCTTCTATGTTGTGTTTATCTTTATCATAATTTTGTTCATCGTCGCTATCTTCAAATTCTTTAATATTAAGTTTATCAAATTTTATAGCATCGCTTATATCGAAATCTATCTCATCGTCGTCATCCGATTCTTCTTTATCAAATTTTCTGCAATCTCACTTTTCGTATTGCATAAAATCTTTTTCTTCATCTTAACAAACAAACATGTAATTGTGAGGAGACATTGTTGAACATGAAGGTTGTTCTCCATAATAATGATAGTAAATAGCGGCTGGTATTACAAATTCATGTTTTCTTAGACCAATAGCTACTGGTATGTATAACACAGCATTGATGTGAGGAAATTGGAGTTTGGCGGTAACCTTGACTTTATATTCACCTCTCATAACTTTAGTGTGTTCTACAGAACTTAAATCTTCTAACGTAGGCACAACACATATCAAATTTGCGACGCTATTTGCTGCTATAGAAGACATTGTACTGGTATTTTTTACATTTTCCTCATAAATTTTCTTATGATTACAACTTGCTATGTAAGTTAAACGACTGACAAGTTCAGTTTTTATAAATATTTCTTGATTAGTTTCATTGTTCACCGTTAGTGTCATTTGGAAGTTATGACCTGGAGTTATACAAGTTTTACTTATTTCTCCTTTCACCTCAATTTTATTGAAAGGTGTAAACGAAAATATCTTTTTCCTCAAACAAAACATCATTGGCTCCAGTGAACATGGATTCACATAACTGGTCACGGGTATTTCTACATCAAAGGCCTTCTTTGACTTCATGGTGTTTGCTTTTACAAATGTCACAGTGATTTTGTATCTTATATAACAAGTGTTGTCTTTAAAAGATGGCGGTATATCAATGGGTAGCAGGAACTGAAATGGGTACTCAAAAGCACCTGATATGAGCTCTTGTTTATTTGTATCCACATATAAATTTACTATCTGATTCGTGTACTCTTCGCTGTTGCTGTAATATTTCGTTGTTTTACCACGTCTTTCTGACCACGTACATTTTCCTTTTCCTAGAAGGCACATGGTTATTCTTCTGTACTGTGTTAGTTTATCTATGAAGTACTTCAACCTTCCTGTAACTAATCCTCCTGCTTTCAAAACACCGTCTTCCGTTCTGTCGATTAATATCTGACACATCACTCCCATGATGTTAAAACTTTGACAACTGTTTCCGTTAACGACTGCACTGTGGCACTGTTATAAGGTATACTGAGTTAATTTAGCAAATATTTTTTTATATATTCAGGAACAATGTTATCTAAAATCTGATGATAAATATCAATTATTCATGTAGATTAGTTGCAAAGTAAAATATATCATTTCGACATAAAAATAAAGTACACATTAATAAAATAGGATTCGATGCTCGTATGATATCGATATATTTACTGCTGTCGATAAGATATATTTTTGACGTAGCGTTGATCGTCACACTGGCATATCAATATTTATGCAAGAGTTTGCGCAAATAATGAAAGCCAAACTCTAAAACTCTGACGTCATAGAATATATGTAAAATAGAATCGTTTCCTAGGCTTCGGTGTTATCATTATAATAATAATTTCTTATAAACTAGGTACAATTAGCGTGGAGGCTCTCCGAAAGCAGAATATTTGTGTTATAACGTCAGTCCCATCTAATATAGAAAAAAATAACGTTCGTTAGACATATGTACTAAATTAATTGTTGTGTTTTTCGGCCTAATCCCGTAACTGTTTGATGAGGACTGTCGCGCTGCTATTCATTATTGTTTTGCCGAGATACATTGTCGTGAAAAGTATGTTGGAGGTTTTTTATACACGCCACTGGAAGAAAATTTTGCAAAAAATGGACTTAGTGCATTTATAAACTAGAGAACTTGTAATACCAGATGCATAAAGATGATGAGGAAAATCATCCAATGACTTTTTTCACCCTGGTGAGGCCAGAGAGTGTCAGACTCTTACTGACTAAAAACCACCCTGTTCCTACTCCTACACTTCGAGCCGGAGCTCCGGCAAACCGTTAAGCCCTCCACGGCTTCCTATCGGCATCAGCCCTATTGGACCCCGTCTGTGGTGGTCTGATGGCTCTTTGAGGCGCGCGCGGAACGCGACACGCCGTACGCTCGGGCCTGGCTCTGGTCGGGCGGCGAGTCACCCGTGCTCGCTGTGTGCAGGCCCGTCCTAACGGTGGATGGAAATCGTCTCGCGATCCCCAACGCCCAGAGTGTCTCTCGCGACGGCTGGGGCGTGAGAAGGTTCGTTCCCTCACGTGCCCCGCCTCCTCCAGATACTCTATTCATAGTGACTATATCTTTGGACAAAGGTATTAGTATTATGTAGATATGTTTTATATTAGGGAAAATATATTTTTTTAAACTCGTTGATTAGATAATAAATGATTATATCGAGATAGAAGAGGCTGATTCATTCACATGTTTAGACCGTTATTATCTTACAATATGCTAATAAATCTACACAGATAACATATTCATACCGGATATATTTGTACAAGAATTTAAAAGATAGTACTGAAATGAATTGAAACTATGTTGGGCGGTTCAAAGGTTATTGTCCATGGAGGATCTATAGCAAACAAAAACGATAATTTATATAAGAAGGTATATTTATACAGACTACTATAATGATCAAAATAGACTCGTTTGGAAGTCTTTCGTGTTGATTCTATAAGTCTATCATATTGATTGTGCTTCTTTCATATGTCTCTCCTTGACATTGTTTTCGTCATTGCTGTTGTCTCCAAAACCTTTGACATCTACATATGTTATCATCGTCATCAGATTCTTCTTTTCCAAATTTCCTAGAAACTCACGTTTTTTCCTTCATCTTCACTTACATACATGTCATCGTGTAGAGGCATAGTTGAACATGATGGTTGTTCTTCATTATAGTAATAGTATCTGTAACTTGGTGTGGTGGTCTGAAGTCACCAGTCACCATACTGGTTGAAGACTGCGATTGCTACTGTATGCTGATGTTTCTGTATACCAACAACTACTAGTATTTTGAACATAGCATTGGTATTCGGAAAAAGAGGTTTTATAATAATTTTGTCTGTATATTCCCATGTATACTGGATTACGCAATTATCTCCTTTAAATAAGAGGGGTCTGCACTTGCACAGGCATAGACCTAAAAGGTGTTTTGATTTGTAAAATCATCTAGTTCTGTTGATTGACTTCTGACACACTACACCAATTTCAAAACTTATAAGACAGTTCAACAACAACAACTTCACAAAAAAATAGCCAGAACAACGACTTCGTATTGTTTAGCTATGTGCGTGAGATTGTAGAAGACCCTGCTCTCGTCTCCAAATGCCGGCATCGCACTTGTAACGGTTCCGGTTAGACTATGTTATGTGTGTACGAATAATAAGGGAATATGAATTGATAGACAATACATTGATAAAGTATAAAATTATATTACATTTATAATTTAACATCATGTATCACAGATTTGTATCATAAGTAATTTAACGCATATTAAATTGAAAAAGGAAAGCTTTTCTTCCCTCTTGATGTTAACAATTCCATGGTTATCGTTTCATCTTGGATAGAATCAGTAGTTCTTTTTGCATAGACGATCAAAATAGTTGTTTGTAAGTATTTTGTTCCGGTTCAAAGTTCATTCATTATGTCTGTCACCTGGATTGTGCTTCTATGTTGTGTTTATCTTTATCATAATTTTGTTCATCGTCGCTATCTTCAAATTCTTTAATATTAAGTTTATCAAATTTTATAGCATCGCTTATATCGAAATCTATCTCATCGTCGTCATCCGATTCTTCTTTTTCAAATTTTCTGCAATCTCTCTTTTCGTATTGCATAAAATCTTTTTCTTCATCTTTACGAGCAAACATGTAATTGTGCGGAGACATTGTTGAACATGAAGGTTGTTCTCCATCATAGTGATAGTAAATAGCGGCTGGTATTACAAATTCATGTTTTCTTAGACCAATAGCTACTGGTATGTATAACACAGCATTGGTGTGAGGAAATTGGAGTTTGGCGGTAACCTTGACTTTATATTCACCTCTCATAACTTTAGTGTGTTCTACAGAACTTAAATCTTCTAACGTTGGCACAACACATATCAAATTTGCGACGCTATTTGCTGCTATAGAAGACATTGTACTGGTATTTTTTACATTTTCCTCATAAATTTTCTTATGATTACAACTTGCTATGTAAGTTAAACGACTGACAAGTTCAGTTTTTATAAATATTTCTTGATTTGTTTCATTGTTCACCGTTAGTGTCATTTGGAAGTTATGACCTGGAGTTATACAAGTTTTACTTATTTCTCCTTTCACATCAATTTTATTGAAAGGTGTAAAAGAAAATATCTTTTTCCTCAAACAAAATATCATTGGCTCCAGTGAGCATGGATTCACATAGCTGGTCACGGGTATTTCCACATCAAAGGTCTTCTTTGACTTCATGGTGTTTGCTTTCACAAATGTCACAGTGATTTTGTATCTGATATAACAAGTGTCGTCTTTAAAAGATGGCGGTATATCAATGGGTAGTAGGAACTGGAATGGGTACTCAAAAGCACCTGATATGAGCTCTTGTTTATTTGTATCCACATATAAATTTACTATCTGATTCGTGTATTCTTCGCTGTTACTGTAATATTCTGTTGTTTTACCACTTCTTTCTGACCACGAACATTTTCCTTTTCCTAGAAGGCACATGGTTATTCTTCTGTACTGTGTTGGTTTATCTATGAAGTACTTCAACCTTCCTGTAACTAATCCTCCTGCTTTGAAAACACCGTCTTCCGTTCTGTCGATTAATATCTGACACATTACTCCCATGATGTTAAAACTTTGAAAACTGTTTCCGTTAACGACTGCACTGTGGCACTGTTATAAGGTATATTGAGTTAATTTAGCAAATATTTTTTTATATAATCAGGAACAATGATATCTAAAATCTGATGATAAACAGCAAACATTTAAGTAGATTTGTTGCAAAGCAAAACATATCATTTCGACATAAAAATAAAGTACACATTTGTATAATAGGATTCGATGCTCGTGTGATATCGACATATTTACTGCTGTCGATAAGATATATTTTCACGTGGCATTGATCGTCACACTGACATATCAATATTTATGCAAGAGCAAAAAAAGGGCATTACCCCTGCTGGCCTCATCTGAAGATGATGAAAGCTAAAGAAGTATTGTAGACATTATAGTATCAGATACTTAATTGATTGTGTCTATATCTTTGGTCAAAGGTATGAGTATTATGTAAGTATGATTTATATTGAGGAAAATATATTTTTTTTAGTTCCGTTGATTAGATAACAAATGATTATATCGAGATAGAAGACGCTGATTCATTCACATGTTTTGACCGTTATTATCTTACAATATCCTGATAAATCTACTTTTTACATAGATAACATAATTATACCGGATGTATTTGTACAAGAATTTAAAAGATAGTACTGAAGTGAATTAAAACTATGTTGTGCGGTGCAAAGGTTAAAATGAATCATATAGCATTGAAATACAAGTACAGTAGCAGTGAAAGTACATATTGATTGTTACATAGCTTAGTATTGACGGATTTTGACATGTTGTAGTTTTAAATAATTAGATAAGTACACCGAGAATTTGATAAAGATTGATGAAACAATTTTTGCTGCACACATCAATGTTTATCAGTTCCCAATTAATTTATTCCCGAAGAGTATTGTAAGCATAATTGTGTGAATTGAAAATTACAATCAATAAATTATAATTATACCTTTTTTAACACCATAAACGCCGCGTAGGTCACCTACGTTAGCGGAGGATTTGCCTTCAGCAGTTTTCTGTCGGCAGTCAAAGGCTTAATGGAATACTTCTAATAGATAACAATGTAAAACCGTAAACATTCTGTTTTACACACATTTTTAATACTGTCCCGTGTACTCTGTATAGGGATTCCCAAAGCATGATGACACACGCTATCAAATATCAAACGAATTAACACGTTAATGCTGTCACTCATGGTTCACTTTTCGTTGCTACATATACAGCATTAAAAGATCCAATTACTATATCGTTCCAGAATCGACTTTATTCCTGCACTCATTAAGACGAGTTCGATGTAGCGTTGGTAATGTTTTTCTACACGACTCCATTTATATTGCTACAAGGCCAACGCTAGTATTTTGCTGGCAGTGTTTGTGAGTGGCCGTGTGGAACGTTTTGTTTTAACCAAAATGACTTTGTTGTGCCAAATATTACTGGAAAAAGCAAAAGAAGGAGTGTTTAGATCCGGAGACTATGTGCGAGGAACATTAAAGTATTCTGTGGACAAACCAACGAGGTACGAAACCATATACATCAGGTTTGTGGGCCATGGAAGTGTTAGCTGGTCAGAATCTGATGGAGACGACAGAAAAACCTATAGCAACCAAGAAGAATACGCGGATTTAACCCAGTACATACTTAAACCAAATGAAGACAATGTTCTAAATGGTTGTTATGATCATCCTTTTGAATTTTTAATCCCCGATGATATACCGATATCTAAAAAGGATGATGTATGCAACATATACTATAAAGTCGTCGCTATATTTGTAAAGACAGAAGGATTTATTAAGACAAAGAAATTTGACGCAGAAATCCCAGTATATGGATACGTAAACCGGTGTTCTCCAGAACCATTAGTATTTGGTTTACAGAAAGAACTATTCTCCCTAACGACAACTAACAAAATCAATGTGAAAGCAGAAATTGATAAAACATTTGTGACACCAGGTGAAAATATTACTCTTAAGGTGACAGTCAATAATAATACAGATTTTCCTATTACTGTACGAACAGAACTGGTCAAACGTTTTACTTATCGGTCAAGTGATGACTATACAAGAGTAGACACGATTACTGTAATCGGTACTGCAGCTAGTTCTCCACCAATGAAAGTGCGGAGTGTATCGAATTTGACCTGTATTGTGCCCACTTTAGCTAATTTATACTCAATACAATACTCAAAGATAGTGGAAGGAATTTACAAAGTGAAGGTAACTGCTATTGTCCCTTTCCCTCATATAAATGAGAGTGTGGAGATCCCAGTGGTCATTGGAGAAGGAAAGGAACACCTTGGAGCTACAGCGAAACATGTGGATGATGCAGCTTTATGTCCACAAACTCCAGATGAAAGTGATAAACATTAGCAAGGAGAATTGAAGTGTAGTGATAAGCAAATATTTGAATTGAAGTGGAGTGATAAGTAGAATGCCTCGTTGGCCGAGTGGTCGTGAGTGCGACTACCGGGCAAGGGGTCTCGGGTTTGATTCCCGGGTCGGGCAAAGTTTTAATGGGTTTTTAAAAAATTCTCAGTAGTAGCACGGAGTCATGAAATGTGCCCGGTATATGGCAATAGGCTCACCCCCTATTACATGGGACTCATAACATAAATAGTGAAAAGTAGGTGTTACTTCTGTGTGCACCTCTGCCTACCCCTTCGGGGATAAAAGGCGTGATGTTGTGTATATATATGAGTATAGTGATATGATTGACACTGAATAGTGCGAGTGCGGTGAAAATTAGTGAAATGAACACTCATATTTTATTCTTTAATTTGTTTATCATTCCATCTTGTTGTACATTCCATATACATACGTATAATAGAAAAAAAAATGATGATTTTTTTATAGTCTGTGTAGATAGTTACATATTTGTTATAACAATCCTGTTGAGCAGGTTTTTATTGATAGACTGATATTAAATAATAATTAATATTAGCCGGATTTGATTCGGATTATATGACCTTGAACTTTTTGTTTTGTAAAATGTAACAAACATGTGTGTTTTAAATAGGACTACAACGTGTATTTAGATTTTTACTCCAATTACAAGTAGAATATGTCATTAAATATATTCCTCTCTTAGGTAATTCTTAAGAGGATTAAGAAGTGTGTCCCCATGTTCTAAAACCATACTGGCGAGTCAATAAAATTTATCAAAAAACCATTGCAACACCATGATACTAAGGACTTAAGGACGCCAATGACCAAATTATTTAGCTGTTGTACTTCTATCTCACTCTATCATCATGCCCTCTCTTTTCCTCCTCTGAGTCATTTCAATGGAGTGTATTTATATCTGTGGCCTTGACCTTGACATAGACGGTTGAATTATAACTGTTTTTACATTGACATAGACGACATAGGAAATGCATTTATTACCTTTAATCTTTCCGTGGGTGTCAGAAACTCTTTAGACCATATGTTTAACTGAGAGTGGGCAGAAGCGTCCTCTGATAAACTTTATCCTTTTATGTTGCAATATTCAAGTTCCATCTGCCTGTCAATTGTGGAGATAGCTGGTTAATCCAGTTGTGGACTTTTATGTGATGTAGATACTTCTTGTTATGTGAGTATGTAAGTTAAATTTATGATATGACTCCCATGTCGTTGAATACAGTCATATGTGGAAGACACAAACCTTCAAGAAAAGAGCGTATTCCTTTTTACAAGGCCAGCAACGCACCTGTCATTCCTCTGGTATTGCAAGAGTCTATATGCGGCGCTGATCGCTTGCCATCGGTAAGCTTACTTTTGAAATGAAACTCAATGACAACGCAATTTCAATCCAATAAAATCTCAATAATTATTCAATGTCAAACTATTATCGTAGCTGTTGAAATAGCATTCGGGGTACGGAATATAAAGCCAAACTCAAAACTATTTAATTTACTATATATCCTCGCAATACGGATGCAATGGGCGCTAGTGTTGCAATTCAAGAGTATGTATGAAATTTGACAATACTCAGGCATTGGCCGATCGATCGGAATTGGATTCAAGAGTAAGCCCCCAGGTGATCCGTTTGCCTCCTATGCCATAGAAAATACATAATCTATGCAACAGATTATGTGTTGTGTTAAGTTTCAGAAAATTTTGTAACTATAGTCGGAATTTTAATTCTATTCCAGACTTGACAATTTCAGTGTTGCGACGTTATGACAAGTACTAAATAGTGACGTTGCGAAATTATTCGATATGGAAATGCAATATTTCTGGATCGATTCTTCTCGTTTATAATTTTACTTTCGTAAACTTAGTAGGTATATCAGGAAATTAAATATTTCTGAACCGATAACTTAGTTTTGACGATAATTAACGATCTGAGACTTTTCTTTTATAATTGTATGTGAAATAAATAAATAAATGTAATCATGAAGGAACATGACAAATAAAACAGATAGATGAATTATGGTAATAAGTTATTTTATAAGTTGTCGCCGTCATCGCTATCGCTATCCTGTCACTTTCTATAACATTTATTATAAAACACACACACTGATTGTTTATCGATTTTTGTGTTCATCACTACACTATTATATGTGGTATCATTATTTCACAAAATGACAGTAGCTATTGTCAAATCTGGAATTTAATTAAAATTCTGACTATATTAAGGCAATTTATGTAATACAATGATGAGACCTTTTCTTAATACTCACCTTTAAACTATGTTTTATTTTTTACTTCAAGATAGTTCATGTAAGTTATACGCTTGTAATAAAACAATGTCTACGATAATTTTGTGTTAATTTTGATTTGCCTCTTAAAGAAACATTCATAGACACGAGTCTCTGTACGTATGGACGATACTGTTTATCGCAAAATTTTCTCAATGATGAGGTAATAAATAAACATAATTAAATGCTGTTTTTAGTAATTTATTTATTATTACAATACTGCCTGCCGGGCAAGGGGTCTCGGGTTCGATTTCCGGGTCGGGCTAAATAATACTACTGGGTTTTTAAAAATGCTTAGTAGTAGCAAGGAGTCTGGAATTGTGCCCGATATATGGCAATAGGCTCACCCCCTATTACATGAAACTCATAACTTAAATAGTGAAAAGTGGGTGTTACATTGTACAGTGGCATAATGTGCATCTCTGCTTACCCCTTTGGGGATAAAAAGCGTGATGTTATGTTATGTTATTACAATACTTTGTGTAGCTAAAAAATTAAACCCACTACTCAAATTAGGCTTTCAACAACTACACAGTCAGTCTAGACACATCTAATTACACATATAAAAGTTAAAACATCTCAAATTCAGGTCCACAGTTGATACCTAAACTTGATAATGGACAAAACAAGGGTAACCTTAGATTAAATTTTGAATCCCTGTTTGTGGTACACGAGGCCCCCGGCAGGACATAAATTGGAGTCCATTCGCCGTGAACTGTAGGGTTAACCCACAAATCAAGCCTGTTTGGGTATTATGGACCTTGTAATTAAGGTTATGTAGAGGTATGTATTTACCATTTACCTATGGATCTCGGTGGAAATGTTTGTAGATATATTCATATATATATAAGTGATAGATTCGCAAGATGTTTTGTTTTTTTACTAGCAGCTTCCCACCGCGTCCTCGTCTTACTTCAGACCTCAATCTACCCTTGTTGCAAATTGTATATAGCTCCATTCAGCCGTTTTGACGTGAAGAAGTAACAAATAAACATACATACCTTCGCATTCATAATAATACTAGCGACCCGCCCCGGCTTCGCACGGGTGCAATATGCATGTGTTATATATAAAAACCTTCATTAAGAATTACTCTACCTATTAAAAAAAGCATCAAAATCCGTTGCGTAGTTTAATAGATTGAAGCATACATAGGGAGAGACAGACGGCGGATAGCGACTTTGTTTTATACTATGTAGTGATGTTATATAGTAATTAAATGTGAGATACTAGTATAATATCGTAACATCACGCTTTTTATTCCCTAAGGGGTAGGCAAAGGTGCGTATTTACGGTACTTAACTCGTCGAGTACCGGTTTTGTAGACACAATTATAGAACAATAGGTTGCGGTCACCGGTGACCGCTTGGTGTTTGACAGTTTAATGACATTGTAGAACGTAACACCCACTTTTCACTATTTATGTTATAAGTCCTATGTAATAGGGGGTGAGCCTATTGCCATATACCGGGCACTGAGACTCCGTGCTGCCACTGAGATTTTTTGAAAAACCCAGTAATACATTGCCCGACCCGTGAGCCGAACCCTTTGCCTGGCAGTCGCATTTGCGACCATGAGATACTATAGTTTCCGTATAAACGTTACACTAATATTTTCGGTTTTTTTTTTCAATTATTATTAGATGTGAATGAATTAAATTATACACCATAAATAGCGCCTAAAAATATGAGTTAGCAAAATTAGTATGAAATGTGAAATACCCTGCCAAAAAATTAATAGCAAAACTAATTTCTGTGTACATTATTTTTTTAGTAGGCGTTCCTTTTCTATTTTGCATTGATGATTTTTAACCGGTTAATGTGGATATCATTGTTGGAACCTATGTTTAACAGTGACTGTGGATGTATTATCGCTGATATAATGATATTTTTTATACTGTTTTGAGCTGTTTGTGATCATTTTGTTGAGTCTAATCAGTGTATTTAGCCAAATGCCACTTTAGCACTTGTCTACAGAGAGAGTTGAAATTGAAATGTATGGGGATAGTGTCATCCCCATGACCTCAAATATAAATACAAAATTTACGTCAATACCATATAATTTGATTTTCTATTCTACATGTAGACAAGCGCTAAATGGTATTTGGCTACAGCTGCAGCTTAGAGTATTTTAGACGAGTATAATTCGCTTTATTTCTTCCCTTTAAGTTACTTTGGGATACATTAATCAAATCTATACCATACTCCATCATACTTATGTTGTTTTTTTATTATCAAAATTATCTTCCAGTGATGAAATCTATTATCTTTTGTCTCTTGATAGTTCATTGACCACACTATGTTTTTATCAAAAAATCGATGATTTAGATATTACACAACAAAAATTCCGTTCTTCATTTTTTCTGCCTTTTCCTGGCTCCATAAGAAGTTATTAAGGTCTTTAAGAATAACTTTCAAAGTTATTTTGCAGAATTCTGGGATAATCGCAGGGGTCAACCCTATCGCAGTGCAATGAGAGGACCTCGCCCTGGGGGAACCGCCTTCATGATCACGGTATCCCCTACGCCAGTTAAGTATGAGTTCACCGCGGCGCGACGCGAGTGTCGTTCAACGGCGGAGAATCTTAACACCGCGATTCAGAAAACGGCACTCAGTGCATAACGCCATCTATCGAGCGAATTAAAACTAAACCGGTCACTGTGAATTCGTGAAACCGGTTTTAAGGAAGGGTACGATAATGGTACTTAGGAAATCATACATATACTTTTAACTTATTCATAAAAATTTTACTCTACAAAATAGAAAAAAAACATCAAGACATATGCTAAACGAATTTATTATTTAGACATTTCTTCGGTCATAACTTCCCAATAAGACGGAGGGGCCTCCATTGGCTCACCGAAACCGGCATCTAGTTCATTAACCATATTGAGGTTTTCCCCAATAAATACAGGAATATCAACACATGCATTTTTGTGAGGCAATGGCAAGTTCAACGTAACCTTTAGTTTGAATTCTCTTGATATAATTTCAGAATGTCTCACTGTGCATAAGTCTGCAGCTACTGGTATTATATTATACATGTCAGATGATACACTGCGTTCAGGTATGCTTGGAGTTTCAACCGTACAAGCACGAATTACTTTTCTCTCTATCTTTGGATTATCTCGTGCAATTTTCTCAACCATGAATCTATCTCTATACTTCGTTTTAGAAACTAGTTCCGTTTTAACAGAAAAAATTACATCACTGTTATTGATAACATTAAATGATATTTTGCTTTCACCGTCAGGAATCAGGAATCCTTTATCAAGTTCAGCTTTAAGCTTAATTTCATGTTTTTTGGACGAAAACAGCTTGAAGAGAGATTTGTCGAGAGACACTGTGACAGGTTGGTCAGGGATTTTGGGGTCCACTCTGGGGTATATAGTAATAGGTGTTCTAAATACCTTGTTGAAACTGAACACTGAAGGCTTCTTGAATTTTAGTTTTATATTATAATTGATTTCACCAATATCTGTGTTGATTGATGCTGGAATCTCCTCTGGTAATTGAATTTGAAATTGATGTTCATACGATCCGGCTTTTAACGTGCTGGTGTCACATTTTTCGTCCAATTCTTTGTTTAGAAAGTAGAATTTTGTTAGAGTAGCTTCTTCTCTGCCCTCGTACACATATCTATTGCCCACCGTCCTACGTGGATTGACAGTTGACTTCGTTGCAAATTCATACCATTGAACATGGCCTTTCTGGATGAGAGCTATACTTATCTTCTTGAAGTCTGTGTCTTTGTCCAGATGGAACTTCACCATTCCTCTTATAACCCCTCCGGTGACATGTTTTCCTCCTTTGGGTGGATGTATCAATATTTCACTTCGCAATCCCATTATTACGTTTCACGTGGTTCTGGGAGTACTACCAACGTGCTACTAAACTATCAGATAAAATTGAAGTGTATAAATCTATGTATATTCGTTATTGATAAAAAGATAACCAACGTATATTTACCCGACTGTTTATCAATGCATTAAATGATATAAAGAAAAATATAAAAATATCCGACAACATATGTCGGATTCGAATATTTAAAGTATGTGTCACGGTTGCTGACAAGCAAAGAGTATAAAACGGGTTATCATAGATGGCAAATAGGTGTCCAAAGATGTCGTCAAAATTAAAGGAAATGTTTGATTTTGAGAAAGATGAACGAAATCTGATATAAAAAGACGATATTTTGAATATAACTTATTATAGAAACACGAGTCCATTTTTGTGACTTATAAATCAATTTACAGGAAACTACAATTATTTCTTATCATATAACTTATATCTTCCATTTTTTTTAAATAACACTACCTTCTTCTATCGATCGATCGATCTTTCTAGCGATCGGTACATAATGTAAAAAACATGCAATTGCACTTCGATACAAAAAAAAGGAAAACATAACTTTCACAGTTTAACTGAGTGCAATACAAACTCCAATACGACCATAAATGGATAGGTATATGAATTTAAGAAGAAAACAAAATAATAATGACAAATGACATCTGTCGGAAATTTGAAGTTTTAGCAAACCAAAAATATAGCCAAAGAGTATGATAAGTATAAGGGTAGGCTAAGAGCAAAGAGTATAATAAGTATCATAGGTAGCTGAGTAACTGATGATCATAACCACAGGCTGTAATTAAGAATACCATCTATAATATTCATCCACGGTTACAGATTCATCGACCTTGAGTGATCAAAACTTCTCTCCAGCCAAGTTGTTCTCTCCACCTTTAGAACCACAAAACCTTAATGGCTTTGTGGTCCTCTTGAATATTACCAGTAGCAGTGACATACAGAAATCGATTTATTTATTTTGGTTAACCAACAATTGTTTACACTATATACATTACTGATTAAATATTATAGAAACATTTACAAGTGCAACAATTAATTATAGGTTAACACCATATGAAAAAAATAAAACGATAAACAAAACATACAGAAAAATAACAAATGATTCCATAGGAGCATATCTATCTCAAAAAAGAAAAGAAAAAATACATTAGGATGTCAATCACTAATTATATAAATACGGAATTATTGGAACATTAAATTTAGTTACAGTTGTATAAATTGTATTACAATTATTGATTAAAAAGAAAAAAGAATTAGATTCATAAACTCAGTCAGTATTCTTAGTAAAGGAGTCGTCTTGAGCAAAGTACATGAATGATAACGCCATGAGCACATTTTACGGACGTATAGTACATAAGGAGTAACTTCCTTACCATCAGTTCGACAGACTGTTGAACTATGGGCCTTGTGTACAAACAAAGGGTGAGCCATTCGTTCTAAACTTGATACGCGATTTGGAGTTCACAGCACTCACGGTTAAAAACGAATCTGCTGCTGCCAGGTTTCTATTCAAGATGTATTATAGTCGGTTGGTACGACATCCGCAGAAGAGTTGGGTGGTGTCGAAAGTCTTCTTCTTTGTGGTCTATAGCACCACAAGGCAACGGCAAGTCGCTACGAGAGGGCTGGGCTATTGGGACAGAAACTAAGCATTGCCATTCATCCTGGCAAAGCTATCAGTCTTTTAAGAATGATTCTCGATGACATTATTGCGCATGAATTATTTAATGCTTACATTTAGGCTTTTTTATAAGTTAAACTACTGTTTATTTGTTTATTAACTTACTGAGTTCATTGAGTTCATTGAATTTTCATCATTATCATAATTACCAACAGCCGAAAGACGTCTACTGCTGGACAGAGCCTCCTCCTTAGTCCTCCAGGTCGAATGACAACTTGCCACCTGCATCCACTGGAGGCCTGCCCACGCTTCTTTTAAATTTTAATATTATGAAAATACGGATTTTGACGCTGTAGTGATAGTGAAAAATAATTATCTATCACTTTTACAATCAATAGTAATTATATTATGGTGTTGTGTTACTTATCTTATCAGTTATCACGCTTGTTGTTTAGTTATCAGTTAACATAACACCACGCCTTTTATCCCCGGAGGGGTAGGCAGTGGTGCACATTAAGGCTCTTAATAATAATATCACTGTAGAATGTATCACTCAGTTTTCACTATTTATGTTATGAGTCTCATGTTATAAGTGCTGAGCCTATTGCCATTTACAAAATTCCAGACTGCGTGCTACTATTTAAAATTTATTTAAACGTGACTGCCTAAACAATGGTCTCGGGTTCGATTTCACGGTCCAAATTATCGAGGCTTGTTATGGTTTGTGTTAAAAACCGTTCACGCACTATTTTACAAAACAAGTACATACATAATAATATTATATTACAGTACATTCATAGATACTACAAACATTGTGTGCATTCCCCTTTGAAACATCTTTATCAACCTTGATAATATTTGTTGATAGTTAAAGATAGACTCGAAAGATGGCGTTCTACTTCTGAAGTAAGAAATAAGTTATCGAGTTTTTCAAAACAATGGGCTCCTTCCAAAAACACGTAGACCTATTCAATGCATAGTTGTTAATTCATTTCATTTTATATGGTCCGATAAAGTATGTACGTTAACGTATTCAATGTGACTGTTATATCGATTTGTTGAAAAAGTAGAATGGAATGGAATGTAATGGAATAAAATTCATAAAATAGAACAGAATAGAACAGCACAAAATGGAACATATAGAATAGTGACATAACATAACATCACGCCTTTTATCTGCGAAAGGGTAGGCAGAGGTGCACATTATGCCACTATAATGTAACACCCACTTATCACTAATTATGTAATGAGTCCCATGTAATAGGGGGTGAGCTTATTGCCATATACCGGGCACATTTCCAGACTCCGTGCTGCTACTGAGATTTTTTTAAAACCCAGTTTTACTTTAAACCCGGGAATCGAACCCGAGACCCCTTGCCCGGCAGTCGCACTTGCGACCAGTCGGCCAACGAGGCAGTCAGAATAGTACCGCGATATATTTTAATTAATTTGCTAAATAAAATTTTACTTTCTTCGTGTATTCTATTACATGCTGTCCATCTAAATGTTGTATGCACAATCCCTTTTAATGATAAGATTACGCACTGCAAGTGATCTTAAGTTTCAAAATACTGATAATGATAATAACAAAACAATATATTCACATGTTTTCAAGTGTAAACATGACGAATTAAGTTTTGCCAGACGATATGAGAATACATTTAATTGAAGGGGGCCGTTTTCAATATCTAAATTATTATTATCATCATTAAATTACTTATTTATGTCGAATTTTATTGTATTGCAAAATGTTTTGTCAATAGATTTTTTACTTTATCTGCTTTTTGAATAAAGTTGAAATTGTTTTGCAGGATCACAGTTTAGGAGTAACTTGATATGCTGCATACGTGATGGTGATAAGTCTTTTTTAAAGGGGTGTGGCAGGTACTGAAACATGAATGGCAAGCCTTTACAACAATAATATTTATGATAATTTGATATAGTTGTGATACAACGACTAGCGCCCCGCACTATGGTACCTAAGCGATGTGAACGTCCCCCATGATGGGAACCTCGTGTATGCTGCGAAAGATGAACAAGTAAAATATCTTGACTTGACTCATGAGGTTGTCGACATGTGGAATATGGATTCGGTTATCATTGTGCTGAAGTCGTGTCGGCCAATGGATTACAACATAACATAACATCACGCCTTTTATCACCGAAGGGGTAGGCAGAGGTGTACATTATGCCACTGTACAATGTAACACCCACTTTTCACTATTTATGTTATGAGTCCCATGTAATAGGGGGTGAGCCTATTGCCATATACCGGGCACAATTCCAGACTCCGTGCTACTACTAAGATTTTTTTGAAAAAACCAGTAATACTTACCCGGTAATCGAACCCGAGACCCCTTGCCCCGCAGTCGCACTTGCGACCACTCTGACAATGAGGCAGTCAATGGATTAATCCCTCAACAACCACATTAGGAGACTGTTGTTAGGAAGGGTGGATCAAGGGTCTGATGCTGAAGGCAGTTTTTCTGGAAACGGCACGCATCGTGAGGAGGTTTCTGTCTCTGGAGCCCTAATCGTCAGTAGCTTGATTCCGCTGCTGGTCGGCTCCTATTCTATATTCTTAAATAATATTTTTATTAGATAGTATTAAAATTGTAACTTTATGAGACTTTTAAATAAATATATGAAATGATAATTTTTAAATCGCTAAATCTTATAATACTTTGCCCGATGATTAAACCTAAGATCCTGTACAACAGTCACTTTTGTGCTCTCCTTATTGAAGGACAATATGAATGTTATGTAAATATTATGTGATATGTAAATGAATTTTAATATCTCTTTTATCTAAAAATTGTTATAAAAACATGAGGGACTCTTTACAATGTCTTTTATTCTATAAAGCTGTGTTAAAAAATTATTTTTTCTTCTTCGACAATTAAATTTCCAATACGATGTTTTCAACTTTATATTGCTCTTTAGTGGCTCTTTTTAAGGATAAATACATATATATTTTTTTCTCTCTCTTAAATAACACGTGCAAAATTTCACATTAATAACAAAAGTCAAAATAATAATAGTAACAAGTCTGCTAAAGGGACCCCCCCCTTTCTATTTTTTTGACAATGATCGCTCTTGGGGCTGGGGAGCGCTAAAAGAAACCCCAAGTCTACTTCGGCACACATTTTTATGTTGTAGGTACTTAAATATCTTGCTATCTCTGTCATTTTACAAAGAATTGGTAGCGACAGAACTATACTTTTAAGCGGGACCTATGGCCTTTCTTTGCAGTATTCGGGTGTCAGTAATCCAAAATCTCTGGTTTTCAAAATGTGATAATGACATTTGAGTTGAAGTTACATAGAAATCTGGTTTTCATTTTGCACGATATAAAGACTT